GATTATAGCAGAAAGGCACGGTGAATAAACGCAGCTCTTTGCGTAAAAATTGTACAACATCGCCGGTTGTTAACCAGAGATCGAGCTGGGGTAGACGGCGAAGCGGACTGAACGGTTGTGTGAAACAACGCGCGTGGATCAGCGTTGTAGTTGGTACATCGCGGACGCCATTCACTTTGTTTAGAGCAAAGCATCACAAGAGATTAGTCAACGGCAGGTACATGAACTTTTCGGGTGCTGACCGGGGCTCTATGGGTCCAGTTTGCAGTTGTGCCGCGATGAACTTGTACTTTTTCTGACTAGGTAAATTTGTTACGAGAATATCCTATAATTATGGGTGTACACCGTCTCCGACATTAGCCCTCTGAGCTGCCAACGAACATGATACTAACGTGAGAGTACATTGTATGGGAACGATGAGTGCAGCGTTACACTGCTGGTCGTGTTGAAAACGCTTCACTAGGTTAATTTGAACCCTCCAATGCCAGTAAATGCATGGTGGGCATGTCGCCGGAGGTTAGACGTTAGTCCACGATATTCCAGTCTTTCCCGCTTGATACTTCGCCTTGGCTTCCTGTAGTTTGTTGCCTATGAAAAACGTTGCCAACTTCCAAAGTAAAACGCTATGCTTGCCTTTTCTGTACAAGCAAAATGTTCCTGCAGCGAGATTTTCATGGGCTGCGTCTTTGAGCATGGCCGCGTATGGGGTTCGTAAGCAAAGAGGAAGTCGGTGAATGGCTTGATAACCATTGTTTAATCACCTCGACCAATTATCTCTATGACAACAAATCACAGCTAGTGGTGTTCCAGACTGTGAGTTGCCAACAAAGATTGAGTCGCGTCACGAAACGACTAACTTTAATTTGAGCAAGCTGTCTACTTCTATTCTTACAACTTCATAAGTAACCAGCACAAAAGATGGCAAAGCGAGACTGTTTGTTGGGGGCTTCGTATGTGTAAATGACTCAGCTGCGCACTGTGTGGCCACTGATTGACAAGAAAGTTGGAAACACCGGTGGCAAACTCCTCAAAGACTTGTGGGATGCGCACCTCTTAACCGCGTTGTGACATTAAGAAGTCTAACCTATGGCAAAAGCACTTACGGAAGACCAGAGGATCCACAGCATGTTCCTTCTTCTCTTCGGCCTCAGCGCGGACTCGATCGGAGCGTTCCAAATGTTCAACCTGCAAAAAACAGGTCGGACAATTTGCATTTTGATAAGCGTAACAGTAAATGATGGTCAAAAGTGAGAAAACCTATAGGATTGTGTGCAGGCTAGAGCGACGTAAGCCAATGAAGCTTGATGCAAGGCACAGGCACGCACTCTGAGTGCATAAACACAGACACCTACGCACAGACGCACACGCATAGTGCCACGTGGAGAACAAACTGAAACGCGTTAACAACTTGTTAAAACTCGAAATTTTCACACAAAACGAGCGAAGTAGGAAGATGTGGGCAACCACATTATCTCTTAAGGAAACAGGTAATTTCTTCCTTGAAATTCCGAATTTTTAAACCAGTGTGGTTTTGTCTTATAAAGCACTAATTCCGTCAATACGCGATCTCTCGTTTAGCACATCCATTATGCCTAGGCAAATGCCACAAAAAGAATCTGCATAAATTGCTATTTTTTCTGCGGTTTAACAAAGCACTCCAAAATAGCGAATTGATTGGACAATATTTTACATTCGATTAAGAGCATATTCACATTAAGGCCTTCGTTGTAGATTTTCGTCGTCTTTAATTTTCAGGTACACACACAAGTACGACCGAAGCCGCCATCTATAGAAATAATGGGCCGGAACTCACGACATAGCCTAACTCTTCAAAAGATGTGTCATTTAGAAAGTTTTGGTAATAAAACCCCTTTTAGGACAATGGACAAAAAACGACGAAAACCACTACATATTTACTGATATTTCAAGGATGCCTTCAGAGGCAACGAACTCCACCTTCACCGAAAAGCACATTGTGCTCTTACAGAATCGTACGTTTACGATTGCACCTGCTAGTTATAAGCCCTTGACAACCATTGTTTAATCACCTCGACCAATTATCTCTATGACAACAAATCACAGCTAACGGTGTTCCAGACTGTGAGTTGCCACCAAAATTTGAGTCGCGTCACGAAACGACTAACTTGAGTTCGAGCAAGTTGTCTACTTCTATTCTTACAACTTCATAAGTAACCAGCACATAAGTAACCTGCTTCGTATGTGTACATGACTCAGCTGCGCACTGTGTGGCCACTGATTGACAACTACCCTTGCAACACCCCAAAACAGTTAAACAGCAACCTGCCGACTAGCTGACACAGTGCAAAACGTATTAATTCTCCGGAGATTATCCGGAGAAATAAGGCTTACCCACTTTGCACGAACTCTGGCGTTTTAGGCATTTATGTTCTTAGATACGTTGCTGGATATATTATCATCACGATTTTCAGTGTAAAGTGTACTGCGATGAATTCATAAGGTCCTAGTAGCCAGTGGTAATGTACATTTTTTTTTCAAATTTAGGATATAGATTAACTGAAATGTGACTGTTATGACGTGGAAACAAAGGACTGCGAAATTTGCGAATTAAGGGGGTCAAAACTTCAAACAGTGCCGATAAGACGTGGGAATTCGGCACAGCCGAAGGAATCCATGATATCGTACAATTGTATTTACATTGGTAACGCCCTGAGGGCGATTACAGGAAACTCACCTTCGTCGAGAGTTCACGCATATACTGAATGAGGAAGGGCATAGCCATATCGACCAGACCGTTGCGCCAGGCCAGCTCAAGAACTACATCAGGCCGCAGGAGATCATAACATTGGTAGAGACAGGCAGCAAAGCAGTCAGACAGATTCTCCGAGAGAAACCAACGGAGCAGGTCTTCGGCGGTCTCGGGGTCGTTGGAGTCTGCGGCATATTGCATTGCATCCTGCAGAAACATGCGAAATAACAAAGTAACTACCATGCATGTGTGTGCGCGCGCGTTACCAAATGGCAGTTTGTTTATAATTGTTCTACTTCCAAGGAGGCGAGCATTTAAGGGAGGCGAACACAGCCGAAACTGGCCTACGGCAGGCAAAGACTAGAGGCCTAATAAAGCGGTTGAAGTGGTCACGGCTGCTAATATGATTGAAGCAACCGGGTGAAGTTTGATACCGTACGGGTTAGAGATTAAATGGACAGAGTAATGATTGTGAAAGGCTGAGTACGCGTGAGTGGGAGCAGGCGGCTTCGACAGCAATAGTTCTGACTCCAGTTCGGTATGAATTCGAGAGAGTAACAGCTGCCGACTTATGGGTAACATGGTCGTTAGATCATAAGCTAAGAAGCGGTTTATGCAAGCAGATGACACAATTGTGTATCCGGTTCAGC